GAGGCAGTGAAGGACAGGAAGGCCTGGCGCTATATGGTTCATGAGGTCACGAAGAGTTGGACACGACTTAACGACTGAACAACAAGCCCAACAATATGGCCAGCTTGACTGGACTTGTGTGCCACCCAGGATTGGGTCACTTACAACTCTGAGGTTGGCCTCTTGCAGCTTCCTGGCTCTCTCCTCCAGACGTTTTGCAATGACAGCCAGCTCTGCATTCTTCCTCTTCAAATGCCTCACCTTCTCCTGAGTCTCTGGGAAGCAGGTCTTACGCTGGGAAGCAGAAAAGAAGGGAGAAAGGTCTGAACCGCCCTTTGAGCCCAGTTTTAGTTTTGGAGGGGTATCCATTCTCAAGAAATAAGTTCATTCAGCAATGAGGGCAGGGAAACCGCCACTTTCTGGAGGCAGAGTAGAGACATGGGGCAATTCTACAGGATAATCTAGGTTGCTCATCTCCCCTGCCTCTCCCAGCTGTTTCTTAAGCCAATTTCAGAAATTCCACTACAGATTGCAATGGGTTGGCCAAGGGGCTGGACTGGTGCTCAGTCTGGACTATGGTCACCATAAGACCTGATTGGCTGTTCCTCTGCTTCTTGCTCTTCCCATCCACGTAGGGAAGTCAAGCCTCACTGGCTAGCTTCTGCATGGATTGGTCTACCAGTGCCTGCCTTTTCCTTTTAGGGATTGTTCCCTCCTTAATAGTCCTTATGCCCTTCCTTTGTTTTCTCAGATATTTATATACCAAGATTTCTTCATCTCCACCTCCAACATTTTCTCACATTATCTCCTTTGACACTAATGCAGACCCTTCCCTTTTTTGTTCTTTATGGTACCTTCTGAGGCTATAAGTCTGGGTAGGGGGCGAGAAAACAAGGTAGCATGCTCCACCCAGCCCGGGCAGAAACTGAAAGGGTTAATACTGGGAGATGTACAGATGTAAAGGTTGAATGGAGCATGAGCTTCTAGAGTGGAGGATGATTCATTGACTTAACAGGTCATCTTGGATCAACTGCAAGATTATTAAAAAAAAAAAAAACAGCCAACCAGCAGAGAACACAATAGTCTGGCAGCCCAGGTTGAAATGGCTGCCCAGGGTAGCAACCAACCCCTGAAGGGAAGAAGGCATGCCAGGCACTGCAGCCAGTCAGAGCTGGGACTGCTACCAGAACTGAACAAAGCACTGGAGACCATCCACTCTGAAGGGCTGAAGATGTTTCAGACCAAAAACCAGCAGTTTTGAATTCCAACTGGAAAATCCATATGCGAAATGCATTTGCAATAGGATAAGAGTTGGATGGAGGATGACATCATCTATTCCTGCATTCAGAAAGCAGTGAGTGGCCCAAACTGGTATGCAGAGGGTCACAATAATTCCTGAAAAGATAGTAAGCACAAAAACTGCAGAAAACCTCTCTGTGAGCAGGACGTCTCTCAGCTGTCTGAGATCTTGGAGAAACTTTTCACGTCAAAGCTGACAACAGCAGCCTTGTCCAATGTGATGTCCTCCGGATATACGGGATTGCAACTGCTATCTTCTCCAGCTGCAGGACAGACATCTGAAGGGACACCAGGTTGGAGAATTTTGGACTAGGTAGAGCAGGCATGTAGAACCTGAGGCCTCAAGGGTAACCCTAACCCTAACCCTAACCCTCAAGGCCTCAGGTGCTCCCCTTAGGCCTTAGGAGCAGCCCCAGAGCCCTTCCAAAAAATGCTGCTTCATTAATTGCATTTAATTAATTTAAAACCAGTGTCATTGTTGCACTGGCCCCACCCATTTCTTTAACCTGGCCCTGTCTGCATTTTGTAGCCTGGTTCCCATAGTTCCAATCAGCAGCTAAGTCCAGCCCTCAGCCTCAGCAGCCTGGATTAAAACGAGACAGCTCCTTGCAACCCAAGGTTCATCAGCCTCTTAAGGCAATACTTTCAGGATGTTCTTAAGACTGATGGAGGAATGGGAGAAAGATCTGAACTAAGTGGCACCAGCCAGCAAGAAATTCTTCCCATGCCAATCCTAACTGAAATTATAGAGCTATGGAAATCTTGCCCTTTCATTCCATGAAACTTTGGCAGGACAAAAGCTTGCTAAGTAGTACCCTGTTTTAATTAGCAGAAGTGGAGTGTGCCTTAGATATTCTATTTCAAGTGCCAGAACAAGAAAAACATAGAAAAAGCTTTGAATGTGTTGAAAGCATTGGTCTGCATCATTTGGAACAAAGAGTTTCAATAGCAGCCTTTTTATTTCCCCAAATCCCATTGCAAAGATACATCTTTGAGATTATACAAAGCACCCTTGGTGCCCAGTACAATAACTCAGGGTTGTCAGCTTATAGATCTCCAGAAATTGTTGCACTTCAACTTGTATCACTGTCAGCCCGCCTGGCTAATGATCAAGGATGATGGGACTTGAGGCCCAACAACATCTAGAGAGCCACAGACTGCTCGGTCCTCCTTGACTAAACAATATTTGGGTACCATGTGCTCAATTAACTCTTGCACGCCCCTTACCAGCAGACTGTTTTCCTTCTTCAGGCTGGCACAGCGCATCTGCAGCTCCTCTAGGGCTGTCAGAAGCACTTGGTTTTGACGCAGAAGACAGCGATAACTCACACCATACTGTAAACAGGAGGAGGAGTTAAAGTTAAAAGAAAATATAGGAAAAGGAGAAAAAAAGGTGGAAACTATTAGTAATATCTCATTCTGTACTAATTAACACCACATAATTCCAAACATTCCATGAAACCTTTCCAATTCTGCTTTTGCCTAGATGTGTTAGCTAATAGCTCTCAACATTTCCACACTCATTAGAATTATGGGAATTGAACACCAATACATCTTGAATGCACTAGGTCGGAGAGGGCTACACTTAAAAGTTGTGTAGACAGGAACCAAACTCTTAATGGCCAACATGGGAAAATAACAACACACATCACTACGTCACTGTTGCCCTGGTACATTTTCTCCTATTTTAGAGAATGTCTCCCACTGACTGCCAGGAGAAACTGTGTGATGCTTCGCTTTCTAAGCACTACAGTCTTTATAGGAGATAGTAAGAGTAGCATCCCTAGCAAGAATCTTGCTCAGATTAAAAAAAAATCTTGGCTCAAGACTTCTTGCCAGAATCACTGCACCGGCGCCGCCAATGATGATACGGAATCCTAAACTGCTTTCTTTCAACATTCTTAACCTGGTTACTATAGTAACTCATTTTCTGGTTTTCCATGATCTATTGAACCATAAACCAATCAAGCAGGCAGGGTTTACACGAAGGGCTAAGCCAGAAAAAGTCTAAACAAAATTAACTCTGAACAGCAATTTAGGCAGCCTTGCAAATGCCTCTGCTAGGTCTCTAACTGACCTGGTTAAACAGGTGGTATGAACAAGCCACTGAGGAAGAGATAGAGATCTAGCTGAATGTTAGAAAAAACCCCTAACAGCCAGAGCAGTTTGTCAATGGAGCCAATGACCCAGAGAGGTGGTGGGTTCCCCTTCATCTGATGTGTTCAAGCACAGGCTGAATAGCCCATCTGTCTGGGGTGCTTTAATGTGGAGACCTGTACCCAGCACAGGGTAGGATTTGCGGGCTTAAATAGCCCTTTACAATTCCATGGTTGACTGAACAAGTAGGTCCATTAGATTGGGTGAATCTAGTAACAAGGTCAAGGGTGTTGTGTGAATGCAGGCTGGGATTTCATATATAAATCATCATCATCATCATCATCATCTCTCAGTACCAGCCAAATGTGGTGGAAAATCAGATTCTTGCAAATCCTGTCTCCCCTGCTTTTGATTTTCCCCATCATTACATTATTACTGGTTGCCATGTCTTTTGAGGAACAGACAAATCCTTTTTTAGAAACATTATTCAAACATTCTGTGCCTCTTTTTCCTGACTGGCTGTTTGCTCCCTTTTAGGAAAGGGAGATTTGGAACTTTTGGCTGTCTCCCAAAGCAAGAAAAGTTAATCGAGCTGCTTCTCCACATCTCTGAACCTTCAACGGTGATGGCAGATGCACCGAAGCTATGCAATAGCTTCAAGGCATCTACAAAATATATTCCCACAGAGCTTTTTGTCCTGCCTTCCCATTTTTACAGCTGCAGGGTGCAGTAAATAAAGCAGATATAAAAATCCAAGGAGAAATAAAAAATCTGAGATGTGTTATTCCTAATGCAGTGTTTCTCAACCTCATCAACTTTAAGCAGTGTGGACTTCATCTCCCCCAAATTTTTGGGATGAAGGCCACAACTCTTTAAATTGTTGAGGGTGTGGAAAAAAGCTGTAAAAAATGGTAAGGT